AGGCTTCCGGCGCAAAGGAGACTGAAGACGCCCCCAAGAGGTTGCCCGAGTGCCCGCCGAGGATTTCCAAGGGGTCGACATCAGTCGAACGCCGAAGGTTGTCCTGAGGTTTGTAATTTCTTTCTGGCGGTCTCATTTGTGGACAAAAAACGGCGCCAAGATGGCTGGCCTCGGGGAGCCCCAATATTATTTCAAGACGGCCCACGAGTGTCCCGCGAGAGTTCGATGAGGGTCGACGACAGCCTCTTGAGGAGCCCAAGACTCCGCCCTCATCATCATCCTCGTCTTCCTGATCTTGCTTCTTCTCCGCCTCCTCACCCCCGAGAGAGGGAGTGTGCGCACGAGGAAGAGGAGGAGCCTGGGATTCACTAGTCCGCAGGAGGCGCAGCACTCCATGCGCGGCTTCCACTTGAGCCCATGCGCTCCTTGTGGACCGCGGGCTTACCGTGGGCGAGTGACCCCGTGCACACGTGGAGTCAAACCACATAAAAAAAAGGCTCAAGGAAAAGGCTGCTCTGCCCGAGGCCACGCCAGGAAGGTTCCCGCAACAGCCCCAGCAGGGCAGTCCCCTCCTTGGTCACCGCCAGGGCAACCAACCAGGCAGGCGGAACCGGAGCGCCGCGCCTTCCCCCCCTACGCGGCCAGGTGCCAGAGGCCCAACCAAGTTGGACCCCCTCACTTGCCGCCGCTTGGGTCCCACGGCCGAGCAGGCGACGAGCTCCAGTCAGGCGAGTGGGCTGGCAGGCTGGTGGGAACCTGGGCTTGCTTCGTTCCTGGCGGGGGGGTGAACTGCGGCGAGAATGTAAGCACCAGAGAGATGAGAGGAGGGGGCCAGGAGGAGGAGCGGAGACCCACATCTCTGTGGCAGCCGACTCCCTGCCTGCCCAATCCGGGCATGGGGTGTTCCAATTGGCTCGGATGCGTTGACCTGGCACCGCTCCATGGCGGGGACGATAGACGATAGAGATGATGCTGATGATGATGCTGCTGATGATGATGACGATGACGATGACGCTGACGATGATGATGATTCTGATGATGATGATGATGGTGATGGTGCTGGTGATGGTTTTAGTGATGATGATGCTGATGCTGATGCTGATGCTGTTTCTGATGCTGTCGCTGATGATGATGATGGTCACGATGATGATGCTGCTGGTGATGATGATGATGAAGATCATGACTATGATGGTGATGCTGATTATGCTGATGATGCTGCTGATGCTGATGATGCTGATTGTGATGATGCTGCTGCTGATGCTGATGATGATGAGGACGATGGTGATGATGAGGGGATGATGATGCTGATGATGATGATGCTGATTATGATGATGATGATGCTGCCGCTGATGATGCTGATGATGACGACGATGA